CCCCGGCTAGTTTGCTGTACCTTTTCCAACTCACAGCCTCCTTGGTCTTACTGCATGGATGCATGGACCCTCCATTTGTCTCCCCTCGTGCCCCGCCCCCGCGTTTGGCCCTCGTGACCCTCGTGCCTCCGTATTGGTCTCTTGTCCGCTGCCGGCACCAACAAATGTGCTAGCGTGTGGCTCTGCATTGCGAGACTGAGCGATTGACAACCGATATCAAGCTGCGGAGTGATGCGAGAATGCAGGATTTCAGTTTCACAGGTTCGAAGGTTCGGCCGAGTAGATGCCGAAACCCTCAAACCGAATGGAGTGTGTCAGGAATGGAAGGTCTGGAACTGGAAGGTGCCCCAATCTTTCAAACTCCAATCGCCTGACCCGCTTCCAAGCTCTCAGACTCTCAAACTCCAAACTTTTCCCGCCTACAATCTGTCGGTGTCGACACCCCTTGGCCTTGGTTTCCAAACTCTCAAACTCACGAACGAAAACCCGCAACCCAAACTCTCAAAAGCCCAAACATGTGTTTACTGACACGTGGTCGATGCACCGACATTGAAAAATTGCAAGGTGGCGAGACGACACTGAACCTTTGAAGGTTGGACTCGAACTATGTGAGCCTTCAAGCACTCAAACTCTCGCAAGTTAGCGCACTGCATGAAGCATCCAGACTCCTGGTGCCTCGATCTTTGCTTGTCTCCCCCTGTGTGCCACTATTCGTCTCGCTACTGATTTCTCTGACTCCCCAACTGTCTCCTCGCCTAGCGCTTGGTGGTGGAAGATACATGCACAGCTTCGATGCTAACTTCTCTCCCCACAGTCGTCTCTCCAATTCTTTGCGTATCGAGGCTTGCTTGTCTCCTCATTTGAACACACTCCTCTGGTGTGGATGCTGGGAGGCTCGACATAGCCCATGCCATCTGCTATCTGGGGTCAACAACGGGCGGAATGATCCGTTGAACAGATGCGGGGCACAGCTCGGGTTCGTGATCTAGCGCCTGGGATTGCTTACCTTTGGAGAGAGAGGGCAGGTAACGAAAGATTGTGGCTCTTGTGACTAAGATCGTGCCGCGGCCGAATCCACGACTTCTATGCCCGGTCATTGTCCGAGGTCTGCCAAGCTTGCCCCAGCGCGGAAAGATGCCACCTCGATCGCGACAAGGATGAGGAACGTTGGAACCATGGATGGCCTTGCAGGGGGTGTCTGCTGCTCATCTGAAGAACCCTCATGAAGTTGCTTGCCATGCGAAAGGCCTGTTGTAGTCCATGAAGAAGTACAGCCAGTGGCCGGTCTTCGTCTTAAGCCACCAGTTCCAGACCGTGTAGGCAAGGACAACATACGCTGGGAAGATGGAGTGCTCAACTCGCCTTACCACGGAGCGACTAGTACATGTCCGTCATCAATCACTACGAGTACTACGGATTTTCCACCAGCCGGGTGGCAAGCTCCACTGACAGAAAAGAGCCTCTCCAGTGAGCAGGATCACGTTGGCATTGTGCATGTACAACAACAGCGGCTCCAGCCTCGTGGCGTTTCAAAACTCTCGTTTAGAAGTCGGGGATCCACAAAATTCGGGAGGCTCTGGGCTGTTCCCGCCAAGTCGCAAGCTGTCCACTGCCGCCTTGCGCCTGCCATGCAAATCTGCCCCTGTTCAACTGCTCATACTCAGGCACTTCCAAATAAATATTGCAAGCTGGTGGCTTCGCCAAGTATGCAAAGGGCAATAGCAGCAGCCAGACTGCCCAGAAGACCAGCCACGACGTCCCGAAGGCCTCGCGCTCAGAGACCCACTGAGAATCCCCAGCAAGACCGCAAAACCAACCCAGCGACGGCCGAACCGGATCCTGCACTGGTTCCGATGTTCGATGGCATCGAGAAAGCAACGCATGACTATCGACGTTGTCCGCGGTGCACACTAACAGTAGCGGTTTCAGCAATGTCGCTGGACATGTTCGACCGTTCGAGCTGAGTCCGTCCTGCACCAATCCGTAGGGGGCAGGGGGTGTTCATCTTTCGTTTGACCGATGATGTGAAGCAGTCTCTGAGATGTAGATAAGCTCAGATTCCTCCCCCTCACATCCCCTCACGAAACCGCTCTAAGGCCCATCGCTATCCACCAGACTGACTTGGCAGTTCAGGTCGAATCCTGCCCCGCCCGACTGAAAAGAGCGAGGAGACGATGCGACAAGACACCAAAATAACAACAAGCAGTCGATGTGGGGCCAGGACTCCAGGATTCTCTTCGACCGGCTAGGTTGGCAGGAGTTGAAGGCGGCAACTTTTGCTCCGAAATGCCGAGAAGGGAATACACAGAACGCTGAAGCTTGGCACGGTGTAATTCTCCCCGGCCTGCCCCAAGGTATAGACTGGGACTCTACACAGCAGTCGCCGTCTCTCTGCAAGGCATTGCATGTAGAGCCCCAGCGTAGGCCCTGCCCGTCATAGCCAAGTTGCGATGTCAAACACAATCCAAAGGCTTGTGGCCAGACGCGTCGTCGGAGTCCACCCGAAGACGACATAGACGAAGCTTGCGCCTGACTGCAAAGCCGTGGTTGTGGGAAACATTGCTTCTGCCATTCAATACACAAGGTGCTGTGCACTAGTCTTCCGTTTGCAAACCAAAGAGCTGCTGGCCAGAAGGAAGTAGAGCGTAATGATGCACCAAGTCCTGCGATGATGCTCGCTCAAGACTTACACCATTCCACCATCACTACGGGCAACAGCCGGCCCTGCACAAATTCCCTGCATCCGCAATGCAGCACGATGGGGAAATGCAGTGCGCTCGGCAAGTGTCCAAAGAGTGAAGTACACGAGCAAGATCTCCACACCACCGGAGAGGAAGAAGGGCAAAATCTCATGGGGCTCCTTCGCACGGGGCACAGGGAGCTTTCTCACGCGATGTCCGGGTGCAGAGTACAGTTCAACAGAATGCATTTCGCATGATTTTTCAGCGACCTTCAGCGACACGCATCATGCCAAATCATGCCCCAGAAGCCTCAAACTCAAAACCCTTGCACGGCCCGTCGGGGCTCCTTCTCTTTGGCATTGTACCGCCTGACGCTGAGAACCAGCGGCGCCACCGAAAGCATCAGGCAAGCCTACAAGGCAGAGGCATTTACGGCGTGACACAACCGAGAGAGATCACAGAAACGTGGTTGACTGATCACTGATAACGCTCGAGGCACAAGGCGCCACATCAGCAGGCCCAACGACTCCAAGCGGGCACCTGCGACCACAGTCCTGAACAGCCGCTACTCGCCGACATCTGGACCATCTTTTGATCGAAGCTGCTGTCCTTCCATGCAGTTCCTGAAAGCCCAACGAACCATCCGAAGCCCAGCGCGCGTTCAGGATCGCGAGAACCACCTAGCCAAGAAGGTAGCGGACAGTGAGCGGCTGCGTCGAGAACTCTCAGGCAGTGGCGACCATGCCCAGCACAAGGACGAGAGCAGGCCAGAAGCCATACAGCACCTCCAGCCGCAAAGCTTCAGCCGTTCATGAGCTTCCACTTGTCTTCGTGTGAAGCCTGACCCACAACTTGTCCTACTCATCTGCAACACGTTTAGCACAGCACGGCATCAGCTGATTCTCAAGAGTTCTCATGTGTTTTGCAGGGGTGAACACGCAACGTCGGCATTCCAGACCCAATTGCAAATCGCAGCAGGTGAAGCCGTAGAAATACCGCAGCATAGCGCAGCCATCAAGAGAGAGCCGCACAAACCACCCGCCCCTCACACAAGCTTGGAGGGCGGGGTAAGCTTGTACCAGGGCACTCCCTTCCAGGGCCCGTTCGTGTCCACGCCCGTCAGCAAGGGCTCGGGCCCGATCGTGGTAACCTGCGACCAATGAGCCCGACATAAACGAAAAGATCGAGGAGCCTGCATCCAGCCGCACGTTGACCGACCTGATCGCCCACTGACTGGGGCCCCGTCCTGGTCGCTCTGGTCCTTCGATTTCGAAGTCGCCTCGCAGACACCAAAAGCAAGTGTTCACATCTTCCAGCTGGAGCCGGAGGTTCCCTACAGAATCCTTTGAGCTCGAGGTGACAGCGGGCCTGCTGAGAATTCGCAGACGGCTTCTCGAAACC